ACACAGTTAAAAGAGTACATATTAATGATGCATAGACAATAAGCATATGTTGAAAGACAAAAGAGATATAAAAAGAGCTAAATTTCTCAGTTTTAGAATGACCTTGACCTTTGACCTTTACATGAATTTTAAGCTCAAAGCTCAATGAATCTTATGCAGTTGGTCTCATGTCTCTACACCATCTCGTTTTGAAAATTTTTAATTATTTGTAAAATTCAAAGACTTTCAGGGGCAATAACTCATTGAAGAATTTCATCGAAGACTTTCACAATGAATAGATTCCAAAATCCTCTCAATGAGTCGAAGACTTTAGTGAAGGTTTCATATTTTTACGGTTTACGGTTTCGAAGTAGTAGCGATAACAAGCTTTTCCGCACAAAGGGCGATAACTTTTAATAGCGTCAATCTTACGGAATACGAATTGAATCTTTAAAATAGTTTTAAGAGTACATATTAATGATGCTAAGACAGTTTTTATAAGTTAAGAGACAAAAAAGATATAAAAAGAGCTTAATTTCTCAATTTTGAAATGACCTTGACCTTTGACCTTTACATGAATTTTAAGCTCAAAGCTCAATGAATCTTATGCAGTTGGTCTCATGTCTCTACACTTTCTCATTTTGAAAATTTTTAATTATTTGTAAAATTCAAAGACTTTCAGGGGCAATAACTCAATGAAGAAGTCACCGAAGACTTTCGCAATGAATAGTTTCCAGAATCCTCTCAATTCGTCGAAGACTTTAGTGAATGTTTCATATTTGTAGGGTTAACGGTTTCGAAGTAGTAGTGATAACAATGTTTTCTGCACAAAGGGCGATAACTTTTAATAGGGTCAATCTTACGGAATACAAATTGAATCTTTCAAATAGTTTTAAGAGCTCATATTATTGATGCTAAGACAGTTTGTATATGTTAAGAGACAAAAAAGATATAAAAAGAGCTTAATTTCTCAATTTTGGAATGACCTTGACCTTTGACCTTTACATGAATTTTAAGCTCAAAGCTCAATGAATCTTATGCAGTTGGTCTCATGTCTCTATCACTTCTCGTTTTGAAAATTTTTAATTATTTCTAAAATTCAAAAAGTTTCAGGGGCAATAACTCATTGAAGGGGTCACCGAAGACTTTCGCAATGAATAGATTCCAGAGTCCTCTCAATTAGTCGAAGACTTTAGTGAAGGTTTCATATTTGTAGGGTTTACGGTTTCGAAGTAGTAGCGATAACAAGGTTTTCCGCAAAAAGGGCAATTACTTTTAATAGCGTCAATCTTGCGGAATACGAATTGAATCTTTAAAATAGTTTCAAGAGTACATATTATTGATGCTAAGACAGTTTGTATATGTTAAGAGACAAAAAAGATATAAAAAGAACTAAATTTCTCAGTTTTGGAATGACCTTGACCTTTGACCTTTACATGAATTTTAAGCTCAAAGGTCAATGAATCTTATGCAGTTGGTCCCATGTCTCTATCACTTCTCGTTTTGAAAATTTTTAATTATTTCTAAAATTCAAAAAGTTTCAGGGGCAATAACTCATTGAAGAGGTCACCGAATACTTTCGCAATGAATAGATTCCAGAGTCCTCTCAATTAGTCGAAGACTTTAGTGAAGGTTTCATATTTGTACGGTTTACGGTTTGGAAGGAGTAGCGATAACAAGCATTTCTAGCGAAAGGGGCAATAACTTCGAAAGGGGTCCAAGTTCAAACAAGGGCTGTCGTTTTTCAGAATAACTTTTGATATCCAGTTTCATGAACTATAAAGTTTTTCGATAAGTCTTGCGGTTTCAAAAGTCCGGGAAGAAAAATAATAATAATAATAATAAACATAAGCATTTCAAGAGGTCTTTCCACAGAAAGGTGGAAAGACCTAATAATAAACAGAAGCATTTCAAGAGGTCTTTCCACAGAAAGGTGGAAAGACCTAATAATAAACAGAACAATTTCAATAGGTCTTTCCACAGAAAGGTGGAAAGACCTAATAATAATCTTTACCAACAGAATCAGTAGAAGGTCTTCCGTTGGAAACGGAAGACCTTAAAAATGCCCCATCCTCCCCCCTCCCCCTCAAAAAAAAGAAACCCCAAGAAAACAAACATATAACGATTTTCCTGTTACCAAAACAACTGACACAGTTTATTTTTTTCTTTACATCAACTTAGAAGAATGGGTGGACTTAACACCCTATTTTGGATCTTTTTGCGACTCCTTCTCCAAGCTGTAAATGAAGTGAATCCAAAATATATTACAAGCAATGGAAAGAGCTACATATACTTGGTTATTGTGGGTGAAACATTTATACAAAATCAATGCCCTGTTGCCATGTATCAAAATTGAAGCAACGGTACATAAGTGTCGTCTTCCGGACTTTGGGATGTACCCTGAGTGGGTTTTAGGTCACATAATCAATATTTATAGAAGGCAGGGCTACCGATCCGCGTCATTGTTGATACCTCTCTCTCTATCCTCCCCTCTCTCTCTCTCCAAAAATTCGAATACGTGTTAAGCATTTTACAGCGATGTCAAAATGAAATTATTTAAAAAGTTTGGTGACACAAAATTAAAACAAAATGTAATTTGCAGCGGCAACCAAACACGCTCAAAGATATGATTTACAACGAGGTCAGGTAGAAGAATACAATGTCACGAGTACACTCGCAGGTGGACATCACGTAATATTTTGTAATACATGTAGTTAACAGGTAAATCGCAGTCATAACAACAATGGAAACGAGAAGTTTGTTTTCAACATGTTTTTTGTTAAATTAAGTATGAGAGCACATTTGTCGGCACTTCTTTTAATATAACATTATTTTGTCCAATATACAACTACAGTTTTCTTAACAGCCGACAAACATGCGCTGACTATGTATTCGGACGATGAAAAACGCGTGACCCTGATTATCTATTGATCATATTCAAGAAATCTCCAGGCACCATGCCTTCGATATTTACTAGTATTAAGTTTACCCAGAAAAGAGCGTTTCATATTCCCATCTGTACCATGAATACACGGTTGAGATTTCGGGGCTTATATGATGGGAAAAAAAATAAATATTTTATGAAACTTAAATCTACGGCAATTTTTCTGGCCAGTTAAGTCCACCCATTCGTTCATAAATTTTTAAATACAAGAAATAGTTTTGTGTTAGAAGAAACCTACCTTAAAAACTGTTTTCTACTTAAAATACCTACAAATGGAAGCCCAATTTTTTCATCATTACATGAAATATGAACAAATCGATTCATATTACATCTATTCAAATTCTTTTGATAAAGCCGCCTGTCCGGTTAAAGCATCTCCTCTTGATTCGGGAAGTCAGGAGTTAATCCTTATCTCATGGGTTCGAATCCCACTGTGGGACTCAAAGGGACGTGGACACAGTTTCAAATGAATTTTTAAAACCAATTTCAATGCTTACAAATCCTAAATAATCATCTAATGATCAGCAAAAAATTGAACATCATTTATTGATTAACATAAACAAACGAGATACAGAATTAAAGTTCTTCAGAATGTAAACAAGGTTCGTGCCTTGTTTTTGTTTACATGTAGAAAATATATTTATAATAAAATGAAATTCAGCAAATCACTAGAAACTTTATAATAGTAATTAGAATTAACTTCTTTATTGAACTTATTTGCTTTAACCGATCAAATATTAATATATAAATTTATGTAAACAAAACATGACACGAACTCTGTTTACATTACAAAGGATTGGAGCTCTAAATCTGTCTTGTATCTCAACAACTTAAGTTCAAATTTTTTATGATCATTAGAAAGACCCTAGTTAAATATTTTTTTTTAGCTAAACTGTGTCTATGCCCCTTTAAAGCGCTGCATTTCATTTCCGGAAATACGCATAACATTTCCTACATTTTTTTTATTTCATTTCCGACATTTTATGTTTTCATTTCCGACATAATTTTCTTTTCATTTCCGGAATTTACCTGTGCGGCAATTCAATGTTTTCTAAGTAAAAGAAATATATTTATAAAAGTTACGATAAACACGTTGGTTTGTTTACGGAAGTTGGGGGCGTGGCTGTATCGAAGATCGATTAGTTTAAGATTTCGCGGTTCTGTAGGTTAAAATCATGCTAGGCATGTATATTGTCGTATTGGGTTGTATTGGAAAAAGAGCACCAAAGACCCAGATTTTGACATCATTTCCTGGTTGAACAAGATGAAGCAGAGTAATAAATGGGTAGGCTTTACCTGATTGGCTGAATTGAGGTATGTAAATATCTTCATTTTAAAGTAAAAATATTAATGTTTGAAATAAATGATGGAATGTGGGAATATTACAAAAATTCTAGAAATACCAGGGGAGATTGTAGGAGTGGGGATTGATATTTTTGGCAGGGTGTCATTTACTGCCGATCTCTGTAAGTTCTAAATAACTGCAAATTTGACCTATAAACGCCGCGGAACGGTATATTTTTTTTCGTGTTTTTAATAAGTGCTTAGAACGAACTTTCAAATAATACCAGTGATTTGTTTGAACGGGAATTAGTAAATTACTTGGAAGGCAAAAGGTTTGTATAGAGTTCTATGGGAAATTAATTGGTACTCTTTTCCCTATAGAGACCCCATTTTTTAATAAGTAAAGTGAAGTGAAAGTCATGAAAAGTTATTTTTAGCAATTTATTTGAATATTGAAGACATTTTGAGAGAAAAATTAGCAAAAATTTGAATTATTTATCTGTGGAATTAGGGTTAGAGGTGATTTTGGGTCTTTTGTAGAGATTGGGGGGGGGGGGGTTTACAGAGAAAACAATGTGTAGTTGACTTGGCCATAGGAGAAAGGTAAGTTAAGAAAATGTATCAGATTGATCTTATAATAAATGTTTGTATGTATTCATAAATTTATGTATGTATTTTACATTTACATGTAATTGTGTATTTATATGATTTGCTATATATGTGTACTTTTGGAAGTGTAGGAGGGTGGCCTGGTGTTAGTTTTTGTTTAGTTTCTTATAGATCTGCACGTTTGGTATCTTTTCGAATAATTTATTCGGCCCTTAAAAGTGCGTTTCGTGGTGTTAATGTGAAAGGAGGTCATTTTCTGTCTTGACGTATCATGTCGGTAGTGTATGTGATCCTCTGGATTGCCTCCCTTTGACTGCGGGGGGATCAGTTTGTAGTTTGGTTGTTTCTATATTGTAGCTACACAAAGGTATGTGTTTTCCCTCTTTTTGCTCTTTGTAGTTCCATCAGGGTGACTCTCTGCAACTCATTTTCTACTGCTTTCCAGTTTTTGTACTTAGAGTTACTTCCCTTAGACTAGCTAACCAAATATGTAGAATTTCAACATGATATAATCTTAATTATTGTGACCTTAGGCTTCTGATTTTGTTTTCTTGAATTATTGGAATGGCATTACTGCATGTATCACATTTGACTTTTCTAATTTTTACATGTAATTACAAGTAAAATTGTAAAACATGTATTCCACCCTTGACGAATCCAACTTTTAATCATTCGGCCATGTAGAAGATATGTAATTTGGTAATTTTTCAGAAAACTTGAAAAATATTGCTGTTTTCTTTATGATTTATGCTTAATTTGACTAACTTTATTGCTTTATTTTCATTTAAAGACTATAGAGGACTTTCATATTTCAGCTTCCTGGACCCGGGAGAGCTTGGTATCTGATCGGCGGGGGGCATTTTCTCTATATAAGAAGAAGATGGAGACTCGCTACCCACCCGATATATTTTGTCGGACAGATTTCTGTACATTGCAGGTAAATTTTTCATTTATCAACTTTTCAGCCTCTTATTGTGGTGTACATTTTGGGGTTTTAAGTCAATTATTGCATTTCTTAATTTTTTACAAAATAATCTGAATTACTCTTTTTAAAGCATGAAATTCAATAATGTAGATTATGGTTGTACTGTATAAGACTATCAGACACTGCACTTTGATTTGTTATCAAAAGTATTAATTTTCTCTTGTCTGAATTAATTGTAAACAAATATAATAGGGGGCACCTGCTATTTCTCTAAGTGTCTTTCACTGGGGGGTGGGGAAACTTTTTTGTATATACTTAAGCAACAGGATGGGTTAGATAAGAATCATTTAGTATATCAGAGTCTCAAACAATTTACTTTTCATAAGCATAAGAAAATTTCTATATCAGTCTTTTTAAAACCTTTTAATTTTGCTTAATTAAGTATGATTTATCAAATTTTGGACCTTTTTTCTTTATTCTGGGTAGATTCCACCCCTATGAAAAAATTGACACAATTATGACTTTATATCATTTTATTAACATCAAAAAACAAAATCATGTTATTTTATAAATATTTTATTCATTACAGTGACAACTGTATCCAGATTTCATCACAGGAATGAAAGTTTTTCACTCTTTGGAAAAGCACCTGCAGCAGGGAGGGGACATTCATTAAGATGGCCACAGATTCTAAGACACTGAAGTGACAGGCCTCAAATTTCATACATGTATATTGGTAAGTATAAGGTCTTTGAAAATTACGAAATTGACTAATTCTGGGATAGGTAAATATGTAAGTATAGGAAAAAGTGCACCAAAGACCCAGATTTTGACATCATTTCCTGGTTGAACAAGATGAAGCAGAGTAATAAATGGGTAGGCTTTACCTGATTGGCTGAATTGAGGTATGTAAATATCTTCATTTTAAAGTAAAAATATTAATGTTTGAAATAAATGATGGAATGTGGGAATATTACAAAAATTCTAGAAATACCAGGGGAGATTGTAGGAGTGGGGATTGATATTTTTGGCAGGGTGTCATTTACTGCCGATCTCTGTAAGTTCTAAATAACTGCAAATTTGACCTATAAACGCCGCGGAACGGTATATTTTTTTTCGTGTTTTTAATAAGAACTTTTAAATAATACCAGTGATTTGTTTGAAAGGGAATTAGTAAATTACTTGGAAGGCAAAAGGTTTGTATAGAGTTCTATGGGAAATTAATTGGTACTCTTTTCCCTATATTAAGGGGCCTCTAAGTCATTCGAAGTTTCGCTGCTTTAAGTGCAACAGCTACCAGTACTAATGTCGAAGCAAAACGATTTTTTGGCTGAGTATCGGCAATTTTCAGATGAAGATTCCTTGCTGAATGACATTCCTTCTTCTGTCCATAAGGATTCTACGCAGAATTTGGACACCCCTGTCGTTATTCCGCAGACAGAGAAACCCTCGTCAGACCTGGCCGACACGTTTAATCTATTCAAGACTTATTTCGACTCAAAGCTGAACACTCTGAAGGATGAACTTTCTGTGGGTAACGATTTTGACGATTTGGCTAAGAAACTCAAGAAAGACGTTTCTGTGTCTTTTAAACACGAAGGAAACAAAATTCAATTTGAATTTAATTCTGAAATTCTGAACGATTTATCTAAAGTACAGAAAAAGTTGTCAGTTAAAGATTCTGCTTCTTCTGCCATTATTTCTTCTGTTATTAACAAGAGAAACAAGCTCATTCGTATAGCAGATAAATCACCAGCGGGTTGGACCACTGTAAGAGAATACGAGAGTGACGACCTCGCCTCTAATTCGGACGACGAAAAACGTATGCGACAGGCAGAGAATAGGGCGCTCCTGGTACTCAGAGAGAAACGAAGATTCAAGCCTTATCAAGTAGATTATTTTGAAAAATTACCTGTTTATGGCAAAGGTGTTAAAGGAAACTTAGCTAAACATGTTGAATACTGGAAAAGTATTGTTGCTAGCGATTTTGTTATTGATACCATTAATAACGGTTATGTAGTTCCTTTTCAGACGGCACCATCTCCAATGAAGTTCAAGAATAATAAGTCAGCTCTTGAAAATGTTGAATTTGTAAATAGTTCGATTTCAGATCTGTTAGAATCCGGCTGCATTGAGAAAGTTTCTTTCCAGCCTTTTGTTGTTAGCCCACTTAGTGTTGCAGTTAACAAAGGTTCGGGAAAAAGAGGCTAATTTTAGATTTGAGCGAATTGAATAAATTTGTAGATAAAAAGAAAGTAAAGTTTGAAGATTGGAATGTCGCTTTGAATTTTTTCCAAAAAGAATGTTTTCTTTTTAAATTCGATTTAAAATCAGGATACCATCATATTGATTTATGTAGAAAACAGCTGACATATTTTTCGTTTTGTTGGAATGACCAGTTTTATTGCTTCAATGTTTTAGCGTTCGGTTTGACTTTGAACAGCACCTTATATTTTTACGAAGTGCCTTAGACCATTGGTGAAACACTGGAGGAACCATGGTATTGACATTGTTCTTTATCTTGATGACGGGTTCGGTTTTGGTAACAATTACGAAAATTGTTTGAAAGCTTCGAATTTTGTTCGTAATTCTCTTGTTCAAGCACGTCTATTAATCAATGTTGAAAAGTCAATATTTCAGCCCAAACAGACTATGGAGTGGCTTGGCTTGATATGGGATTCCAAGACAGCATCTTTAAGTATACCGGAAAGAAGAATAGCGGACGCTTAAGATTCTTTGAAATTTATAATGAATACTTTTCCTTTGATTACAGCCAGAGAACTAGCCAGGTTTGCAGGTCAGATTATTTCGATGTCACTTGTTTACGGAAATGTTTGTAGTTTGATGACAAGACATATTTATTTAGCAGTGGAGAGCAGAGCTCATTGGGACAAATTTATAAATTTTGAATTTCCAGACATCGTCAGAACAGAACTGAAATTTTGGTCACAAAATTTGTTTAAGCTAAATCTTAGGCGTTTAATTCAAGAATCTTTGCCTTTTACTATAGCGTTTTCAGATGCTAGCAATGTTGCTGCTGGTGCTTACACTGTTGAAATGAACGAAAATGTTTTCCATCATGTTTGGTCAGAAGCTGAATCTTTGATGAGTTCAACTTGGAGAGAGCTTAGAGCAATTCAATTAAGAAATAAATAACAAGTTTATAAACTTCAATGGGAATTGAAGTGGGTCGGTCACGTGATCAAATCCTGTGAAGGCCGAAGGCCTTCTCAGAAGATTTGATCACGTACCGACCCACTTCAATTCCCATTGAAGTTTATAAACTTGTTAATTATTACTTATATATACATTTGAGACAGACAATTGAATATTTTCGATTTTAAATTATTGCACTAACCGTCCGTCGTAGATTTTGAAAGATGACGTAAGGTGTAAATCGGCTTGTATGGCGGTTACGCTTCGAATTCATTAGGCTAAGGAATCTATTTTGAAGGGAATATTTTGTGAAAGGCTACTTGTGATCAGTGATAGTGAACAGATTGTTGTCTGGGAATATTTTTATTCGTGAAAAGTGATAATCGATGCTGAAAAGACACAGAAAACACGTCCGAAGTTTGATGATAAAAAGTTGGAGGAATTTCGGTCGCCGGAAAGGGATTGGTGGATCCGATGGATTGAGACACTAGTCCGAGCCAGTTAATTTGCAATTTGATCAAAAACATTCTACGATTTCAGTAACTAAAGGCATACTTATCGTAAAACACTGATAAACACGGAGACACTGGCGACAGCTTTACACTGAACTACGAAAACGCCGAGGTGTTTGACAGATGTTCATGGCATGGTTGCAATGATATTTTTCAACAGATTTACACATTTATCGTGAGTAGAATTTAAAGATAAAATAAGAGTTTATGTTGAAAATTTAACCAAAGGTCTACCCAAAAAATAAGGATGAATGTTAGAGACTGTGCAATTAACAAAAGTGAAGAAAAATGTAAACAAACGCTAGCCTAGTTTGTCTATTACACAGGTTTATTCGATAGACAAAAACTGTGTGAAATACTTGTTTACATTGTAAATAAAATAATTATCATTTTACTTGGTTACTTTGTTCATTTTTATACATGAAAAGCAAGTAGAGCAGGTTATTTCATAATTTATGTATCGGTAGATATTATTGCGCCGTGATTAGGTCACGTATTGACCTCTGACCTCTGACAAACTTCATACAGAATTGAAGATATTTTCTCTCTGTATGTTTATATAATGGAGAGATACCACAAATGTATATATTTAGCTTTATTTTCTTTTTCCAGTTCACTCCAAGGCAAATCTGTGCGGTGGCACACAGACAACCAAAACTGCGTAAGAATTGTCCAGAGAGGCAGTACAAAAATTCATTTACATGATCTAGCATTTAGTACATTTTCTATTTGTGCAGAATCTGGTATTTCTTTGAATTTAGTTTGGATTCCAAGAGAGCTGAATACAAAAGCCGATTACATTTCTTATGTTATTGATTTTGATGATTGGCAAACTAACACAGAGTTTTTTTAATTAATTGATAGTATGTGGGGTCCACATACGGTGGACAGATTTGCTAATGCCCAAAATACCAAATTACAGAGATTCAATTCTTTATTTTAGTGTCCTACTACAGAGGCTGTAGACGTTTTTTCGAAAAACTGGAAATTCGAAAATAATTGGCCAGTTCCACCCATCTATTTGGTTTCTCGAGCAATTAAGCATTTACAATTATGTAGAGCTAGTGGTACGTTAATCGTTCCAAAATGGCCATCATCTCCTTTTTGGACTATGTTGTTTGGTCAAAATATGACATTCAAGAATTTTGTGATTGATGTTCTAGAATTTGAGCCACATCAAAATGTGTTTTGTCATGGTATGAATAATAAAAGCCTTTATGGCTCAAGTTATTTCAATTCTAGAGTACTGGCTGTGAGGATTTGCTGTGAAACAGTTTAGACATGGCCCCTTTTCAAGATTGTCTTAAAGAAGCTGCCAAGGTCTAAGAGTATTAATTCGTGTTAGAGATGGCCCTTTCAAGAAATGTCTTGATGAAGATGGCAAGGTCTAAAAGTGATAATTGTGACTGAAATTTTTGTACAGATCGATTTTTTGATGTAGACACGGCCCTTTCAAGAGTTTGTCTTGATGAAGCTGGCAAGGTCATGGTTATTTGTATATAAATTTTGTTGATACAAGTATCGCATTATATGCACAGTAATGAACATATTAAAAAAAAAAAGAAAAGCGGTTATTATTTTTAGTTTGTTGGACAAGGCCATGTTTAATTTGGCGAGGTCCTGCTGATTAAGTTATCATGCTTTATATACAGCATTATGAGAATACTCGTAGGTTTAATGTTACTGGTTTTGTAGGACAAGGCCTTGTTTGGCGAGGTCCTGATATTCTAATAATTGGTATTTTAGTATTATTTTTCTTTTTTAATTCATCATTTTTGCAGATATCTTTAAATCGGGCAAATGGGAATCTTCCTGGAAATGTGTGAATCCACAGTTAAAGAAACTAGCTGACAAACTCCCTTCTGTGTGTGAAAAATCAAAGGCGGATAATGCTAAAAAACAATATTCAGCTGCATTCAACAGATTCTGTAAGTGGTGTTCTAGTTATCCTCCACTTCCTGCTTCAGATTATAATATTTCATTGTACTTGGTCAAACTTAGTGAAACTTGTAATTCAGTGAATACAATCGATGAAGCGTTTTATGCTATTAGCTGGGCACATAAACTATCTGGGTACCCTAATCCGTGTTCCTCGGATCTCGCAATTCTCACCAGGGAAGGATGTCACAGATCAATTGGTCACTGATCTAACAACAAAAAAGAACCTATTACACCTGAAATTCTTAAAAGCATATGTGTATTGCATGGGAAGGAAACGTGTAACTTATTAGACCTTAGAATCGCATGTATGTGTATTTTAAGTTTCACAGGTTTTTTGAGGTTTTCAGAATAAGTTAATATTAGAATGTGTGACATTATACATATATCACATGGCTTCGAGGGTGACATACCAGAATATTTGCCCCGAGGTGACAGGAAAGCCCTGGAGTGTTATGTCACGAAGGCATAGGGTGATATAACACTCCAGGGCTTTCCTGTCAACGAGGGGCAAATATTCTGGTATAGTCGCCCGAGAAGCTATGTGGTATATGTTATATGACATTTTTAAAACTAAAAAAAAAATTAAATCATTTAAAATCGTTGAAATTTTCACAAATAATCCAGAAATGCTTTTTTGACGTTAAGAATAACGCTCCATTGTTTACATTTGCTTAGCAACCGACGTCATAACATCTCGAACCCGAGCTAAAATGCTTAACGTAACAACACGTGAACGTGATCGAAAGGATGACATAACTGTTTCCGGCGAGGGTTGACATAACTGTTTCCGGCCGGACATAACTGTTTCCGGTGTGACTCGGCATTTTTCAGGGTTTATAGCGAAACTTATTACATTTGTGATATAATAGGAAAACTTATTCAAAAATGTTATATAAGCCTTTATGATGATCATATGACAATTTTTATACAAAAAAGTAAGACTGATCGTTATATGAAAGGAAGTACCGTGTACATATCAGGTACTGGTCGTGTTACATGTCCTATTATTATCACGAAAAGATATTTAGAGAAAGCCAAGAGTTCACCTGGTTCAAATGAGTTTATTTTTCGTTCTATAAATTTTTGTAAAAAAATCAGGTATGTGTTCCTTAATAGGACATAAAAGTTTGTCATATACCCGAGCCAGGAATTTTTTTTGTCTGGGCTTGAATTTATTGGGTTAGATAAGAGCAAATTTGGTTTGCATAGCCTTCGTGCAGGCGGTGCCACTGCAACCGCTAATTCTGGAATTTGTGACAGACTTTTCAAAAAGCATGGCAGATGGCGATCAGATTCAGCTAAAGATGGTTATGTGAAAGAAAATTTACAGCAGAAATTATTTGTTACAAAAAGTCTCGGTATTTAGGGGGAGGGGTGTTTTTTGTTAGAATTACAACTTTTAATCTTTTCTTTATCGTCGAAGCTAGTCTGTTGCACTCGCGCATGCGAGCTCATCCTATATATTGGTGTTTGAGTTTTTATTTATAAATAATTTATGTTCGTTTGAACTGGGGAATTTAGAACATAAATATATTTATAAAAGTTACGGTAAACACGTTGGTTTGTTAACGGAATTTGCAAGGGGGCGTGGCTGTATCGAAG